TAGAGCACTCTATCTACCACACAAAATGGACCTTGCAGGAGGCTCACATTCAGGTAGTTCACCTTTTCCATTCTCACCTTTTTCTTTTTTTCTTTCTTTCTTTCTGTTTTTGAGTAAGTGGGAGGAAGGTGACAAGAGGTCTGAACCTTTGATTTCCTTGATATAGGGAGCTCACTGATTAGGAAATTCTCTACCAGTGCTGATTGGCAACCATTCTGCTGCTTTATCTTCTTTGAGCATTGCCAGGGAGGAAGGAGAGGAAGGAAATAAACATTTATCAAGTGCGTACTATATGCCAGACACTGTGGTTAAGCATTTTGAGCACCAAAAGATTAAATGATTTGCCTGCAGTCATCTGTCCAGTAGGTATCAAAGGCAAGACTAGAACCCAAGGCATCCAAGGTCAGCTCTTAATTACACTCTGTGCTGCCTCTGTTCCTACGTATCCTTAAGTAAAGGTGAAATTTCAGATTGCTGTTTCAGACAAGAGTTTGTGAATTCTCATCACAGACCAGTGAACAGCTGGTTGCTTGGCTAACACAAGCACACGAGCACGCACGTGTGCGCACACACACACACCCAACAATCCACATAGACCAGTACACAGGTAATAGACAACCTAGTTCTGAACCAACAACCAAGCATAACCCCAAGTAGGGCACATAAAACAGACTAGAAGATATAGGTCCCCCATAAAGCAAGTAATCTATGCATCTTGCAAATATACTAGACATTTCCACTAGAACTACAGTTCACTCTGGGTACTATAAAACCTCACAGAACTGAGATGACTCAAAACCTGAAAATGTAAACCAGTAATTGGTGAGACCCATCTGCTGATCTTTATCATCCCTGCTGGGAAGTGACTAGGTCTTCTCTAGGCTCAGCTGAAAGGCTTTTCAAGCCATCCTGAAACTAGAACCAACCCTGAAGCTTAAGGCCTTATGGACTGCAGCTGTGAAGGTAGTTTCACCTCCAAATGCAGTCAGGTGATTGATGAACCAAGCTATAAGAGTGCACATGAATCCTCCAGGCTTCCAATTCTGCATCAGTAGTAGAAATATTGAAAAGGCAATATTTAGATCAGCAGAGGGAAAAGAATGTTCCAGGCATGAGTGAAGGAAGAAATTTCATCTGTGTTCTTGTTGAATTACAAAAGGACTGAGGGCTTGTCATGTCAATCTTCTATTCAATACTACCATTACTGCTATAAAGGGCATTTCAATCAGCTTCCCCCTTGGCTCGATTTCATCCTTGTGTCTTCCTAAAACACAGTATGCTTTCCTGGACACCACTCGCCTCTATGAGCAGTCTGTCCTTTTCAGAATGTAAGCTCCTTGAGGGTAGGGACTATCTTTTGTATTTGTACCCCCATCATTTAGCAATATGCTTGGCACTTAATAAACACTTCATTCATTCAACTCAACACAGATTCATAGGCTACCTATCCACTGGTTGTCCAGCCCTTTCCAAATGTCATTGTGATTAGAAAGGAAGTTTAAGATGCTGTTTCAAGGGGTTTCTAATTGGGAGAGACAGTTTTAGTCACGGAAAAAACACTGGACAGAATAGGAAGACTCAGGTTCAAGTTTTAGCTTTGCCAACCCACAAACTATCATGTTCTTGGGCAAGCCACCTAGCCATTCTGAGCCTCAGTTTCCCCACCTATAAAATGAGGATGATACCTGCCCTGGCTATTTCACAGGACTGCTGTAAGGATAAAATGAAATAATATATGTAAAATATTTTGTGGCCATAAAATGGGACATGATGCTGCTCTGAATCCCCCCCCCACCTTATTTAATTAATTAACACCATGATACCAATGTAAGATGGTATGGTTGAAGCAATGTCCTAACTCCTCCTCCTATGCAGATTAGACTAGCTTTTTTTAAGGTCCCATAACATTTCCTCAAGACTTGGTTAGCTCAGGGCACTAAAGGCTCAGATTGTTGATATTACTTTCTCTTCACCTGAATATGAAGCAGCTGATAGGGGTTCCTGGGGTGCCCTGATGCTTGCTTGGCTGGTGGATCCAGATGGGTAACTCAGGCAAGGGAGCTTCACTCAGCTAAATCAACTCAAGGTGTCCTAAACTGCCCATCCCCCATTACAGAAGGAACAAAAGCAAGAAATCAGAAGTGCTTCTCTCTTTTGTACAGAATTTGTCATAGTTTTGGTCTTCCTGATAGGGCCATAACCAGGATAGGACAATGGGAGCTTTGTCCCAGGACACTGACTTTAGATGGCACCAAAATTAAACAGCACTGATGCCACTTGCAATCCTTCAGCAGCATTGACACAAAAGAGCTTGCCACCTAGTTAGCAAGAATGCTAATTAATTAAAATAGGAATCTACTAAAATATAAAGCACAATTCAGTGAGATCTTCAGCTACCCTCCTTTCTCCCCTCTCTTCTCCTCCATTAGGAAGCTTCTCTTTCAGTGGTACACCTAGTGTTCCAGGGTCTCTGCCTCATTTCTCCAAAGGACAGTGTCTTGCCACTTACCAACTCATTTGAAGGAGACCTTCCTGCCACTTACCCCAACCATGCTTTGTGGTATTGGCTGTGATACAAAAATTCCTAGTTCAATTCAAGCATTTATTTAAGTGCTAGATGGTGCAATGAGGAGAGCACTGGGCTTGGAATCAGGAAGACTAATCTTCTTGAATTCAAATCAAGCCTCAGGCACTTACTAGCTATGTAACCTTGGGCAAGTCACTTAACTGTGTTTGCCTCAGTTTCCTCATCTGTAAAATGAGCTGAAGAAGGAAATGGCAAACCACTCCAGTATCTTTGCCAAGCAAACCCCAAATGGGACCACAAAGAGTCAGACACAACTGAAATTACTAAACAACAATACACTCTCTCTATGAAATATAGCCTGGTATAATATAAATAGAAAGGCAGTCTCTGTGTCAGGAACACAAAGTTTCAAGTCCCACCTCTGACTCACACTGATCCTGGCCAAGTCACTTAACCTCTTGGTATCTCTTGCATTTTCTAAGACCATAAATTGCCAAGCAGTTGTCAATCTACATCAGTAGAGCCCCCTCACTGGAAGTTCACCACGGCAAAGAAATTGCAGGTCCAATATAAGAAAGAAGGAAAGAAAGAAAGAAAGAAAGAAAGAAAGAAAGAAAGAAAGAAAGAAAGAAAGAAAGAAAGAAAGAAAGAAAGAAAGAAAGAAAGAAAGAAAG